GCTGTGAGTACAATTCGATCAATATGAGTTTCTAGGTCATCTTTTTCTGTGTACATATATTTAATTTAAATAGTTCTACTGTAGTTAAATAGCTAGTTTTAAAATAATAATGCATTTATAATAAGTACATGTTATTTCTTTTTCGTGGTTTAAGTCTGGTTGTTTTAAATCATCACTGTTCTTGTGCATTTATCGCTTTTCATATGCCTTGTGTAGCTTGCTAAGAAGTATCATCCAGATGCAAATAAGAGTAATCCTTCTGCAAAGAAAAAATTTCAAGAGATAAGAGATGCTTACGAGGTCTGTAGGGTACCACAACACAGTTTTATCATAATCTGGATTAGAAAACATCCATTTCTTGCAATATGATAATCATTGTGCCCATTTTTTTTATGGAAGATGAATTTCAGACTTTGCAAGATCCTGAGAAGAAAGCTCAGTATGACAGGGTAGCAATTTATTTCCTCGACTTGTTCAGATGTTTCTTCTGTTAGATAGTTCCTTCCTGCTTTGTTTGACTTGCAAAATTTTGGTCGCAGATGACCCAACATTCAAGGAGGACAAATGATTCACAATATGCTTATGGAGATGCAGATAGCTTTAGATATGCTCATAGAACTCAATTCTCTGATTCATTTCACAAAATTTTTTCGGAGGTATTTTAGTCCTTTTATGCATAAGCAACATATTGGAAATTGAGGACTCATATTGATAACAATATTTTGATGCCTCACAGATATTCAATAATGGAGCTGAAAGTTTTGCTGACGATATTCAGGTAGTTCTTCAAGTGGACACCAGTTCTCATATGAGGTTGAGTTTTTGAATTTCCAAATTAAAACTTGGGGTTCATAATTTGCTGAACTATAATAGGTGGAGCTCACACTTTCCTTTTCTGAAGCTGTTAAAGGATGCATAAAGCGTTTCTCTTTTGATGCAGACGTCCCGTGTGATTCTTGCCGTAAGTAGAATTCGAAGTTTTGTTGGAATCACTTCTTTTACTTCTTCTATATAAGATATTTTTCTATTGTATAGATCCTTTAGCTAGAATGTATATGTGTATTGTTATTCTTATCTAGCTAAGTATTGGTATGGTCATAGAATTGTATAGTTTCCTTGTTATAATCTTGGTATTCTTTGCTTTTATTTATCTCTTAACGCAGATGGTCAAGGTCACCCGCTGAATGCTAAACCAAATCCTTGTCCAACTTGTCGAGGCTCTGGTCGAGTAAGTATTCTTTTT